AACAGCGACGTGAGAGCCGAGTAGCGAGTGCGATAACTGATTGTTTGATGACAGGAGATATTTCGTGTTACCCTCGTCTACTACCAGACTCATTCGCTTCGCTTCTTTATCAATCCTGGGGAAAGCTGAATTCACGGCGCGGGTGTCGAGTCCAATAATGTCGATATCTTGTATTTAGAAGATTAAACCTTCTCTATTAAGCTCTGCAGCTCGTAATATTTTTTTTTCCAGCAATGAATTAAAAAAGTCACACGTTAAACAGTCTAATCCTCGTTTTGTATCGAACGACTCGGAGAGGTCCTTCCCGATCCTGATAGAGCTTTTAGTGATGCCTAAGATCAGCTTACACAGCCGTATAAGTTTTGTGAGGATACCAAACTCAGACATAGTGACATAGAGCCAGCTCGTTTTCGTGCTGTCGAAGGCTGTCGATCCTCTTTTAATGGGTCCTTTCCAAGATTGGCGCATAATGAATATCTAATCAATGGTTGACTTGCCAGGACAGAAGCCACACTGATAAGGTCCGATCAGTTTGTTGACGGTGGGCTTTAGACTATCACACAATACGTTTGATAGAACCTTATACGCGATGTTAAGAAGGCTAATCCCACGGTAGTTGGCGCATATTGTGGGATCGTCTTTTTTGTGGATTGAGCAGAGCACACTTGGGTTCCAATCGTCGGGCATGCAGTTCTTCACCGCCGCTTTGTTATTTTTTGAGCGGGCGACCAGCTAATTCTTAAATTAATCGATTTGTTATTCCACTATTTTCGCTTATCTACATATAATTTTTCTAAAAAATGTTTAGCCTCGCAAGAAATGTTAATATTTACTGTCGACTTGTAGCAATTAATATTTCCGTAAATATTTATTACTATGGGCAGGAACGTAGCTTATGACACACCTATATGTATTACCATAATAGCTGCGGCGGTTATTCAAGACGTGTCGTAAACCTGTTAGTTCGTTAGTAAGCTCATTCACAAAATCATGTTTCGTAAAAAAACTTCAAAAAATTTCGACTTTAATCCAAGAGTGAGCGCGATGGTTGGGGTCTTTACCCAAATTTTTATCCCGCAACATTCCTTAAAAACATTTTTGAGCATTCTTTTGCAGTTACAACAACAAACCCAACGAACAATATTGTATATTTTAATACTTAAATTTTTTTCTTTATTCCACTTGTTTTTTCCTTTTTTTTCTCGTTTAACATCAACAAAATGTGCTTTCGAATTACCGTTGATACATTATTCCCAATAAAATAACTACTTGATCTGAAACCTTCGCTGTCAGCGGTAGTTTAAAATCGTCCTTTGTAAAGAGTTGTATTTTCTGTTTAGCACAGCACCCAATATTCTTAATGTATAATCCCAATACCATCGAATGATCTTAGACATTGTAATACGACTTATTTTTGAACTGTGGTCGACGTTTTTGAAAGGTTTAATATTAAATTCTTCCAATTGAAACTATTCCAGGGTGTCCCGAATATACGTGCCCGTTAGATAGACGGTTTGCTGTCAGGGGCGTCGGACTGTATTTTAACGGAGCTTCCCAAGAGTGACAGTGACTTGCTGCGATATGGGGCTATGCCACGTCAGACACCGAAGGGGAGGATATCGACCCTACCAATAACCCTCCACGAGGTAGAGAATGTCAGAGGAGGCAACGAATTCAACTTTCTTCATTTAATTAATTCTCTTCAGTGTATAGGCATTGTGAACATTTACTATGTTTGCTTTGCGTTATGCATGTTTGTTTACGTTTTGTATGGTTGTTAATTTGTTTGTATACATTTAATTTGAATTTCTAATTGCAAAAGTGAAAATTTTCAAATTAAATTCTTGATGTAAATAGGTTATTAGCAACCGTGTTAAGTTGCAACCTCTTCAAAATTAACGTTGGTTTTTTTTATATTCAACGATGTTTTAACCACTTCGTATGTAAAAGGTAAGGGAACACACTAATAATTTAATGTTACATAGTTACGATAATTACACATCAGACGCCACCACATATATAGGACTCAAAAATGAAGGGGTCGCATGAGGAATTGGGAAGACATTTCTAAGGCAATATTTCTACATGCGTTAGGACCAAGGGCGTACAATCATTTATATGAGAATTGATACCCATTTCCTCACGTGTCCACCTTGCAGAGGTGGTTCCGCAAAACGGACGAGCGTGCAGCTTCAGTTGAAGCTATACACCAGATGTCAAAGCTGAGTATTAATGAAAAAATGTGCGTACTATTACTTACGTAATGAAGGTACCCGTATTTTTTGACTTCGATAGCCAAATGAGTAAACAAAATTTTATCTCGATCATTTTGGGTTTGCAAATCGTAGCGTTCCCTGTAGTTGCCCTTGCTTGCGATCTAAATGCCGAAAATTTTAGAGGACTTTTTATGAGCACGCTTAACATATTGTGTTTAGAAAAGCGGAGGTTCGCCAACTCTTCAATGAAGTTTTAAAAATGTCCGGCTCTGCTGATGCCCCGAATCTCTTATATCTTATTTTAAATCATTTCTTGGACTCAGGCTTAATATGGCGAGGCTAGCTCTCAACACCTAAAACAATTTGTGACATTTTGAAGTATACAACAAAAACAGATGCTTCTATTGTCAAAGGAATAAGTATGTAAATCTGCATACTGAGCGATAATAGGTAAAACTAGCTACGCAGTTTACGAATACAACTGCCAATGACTTAAGGCACTGTTCTTCGACCTCTACAATCCAACATAGACAACGGATTTTTTTTAGCTTGTTAACGATTGCTTTGATTTGCTCAACTCTACCATAATAACTACTAGTTACCACAGAAATGTATCGCATGTAAAGTTGAATTTAAAGTTACACTTTCAAATGTAATTTCCTATTAATTTAGAAGAGAACTCACAAAACAAATAAATGTATGGGAAAAAATGAACCAATTCATGTTGTCGCTCATAATTCCAAATAAGAGTACTCTCGAGCCATTTTAAAAATGCATGCTCATGACAAATCGCTAGCTTTAGTATTTTTATATCATTTCTTGAAATTCAAATCAAAGATGGAATAAATTCTTACAAATCGGCTTAATCAAGATGTACTAGAGCACTTTTTTGGAGCTATTCGGGGCAAAGGTGGTCTCCATGACCATCCAACTCTAAAGGATTTCAAATACAGATTGCGGAAGTATATGGGCGAGTTTCTATATGTCAAAATATTTTGCAACGAACATTTAAAGCAAAAAGTCTTTTTAAGCTATTTTTATTCAAGTAAATGCATTGGAGATAACTCACTGCGAAATTTACAGCAGCAGTTAGTTGCAAAAGTATGGAAGTTGATCTTTCGGAAAATGCCTAACGTTTTTTTTTACAAATGTAGACTTTTTTCCACATTCGTAATTTAAATAAATTCCTCAAATAAGAAAAGCTATGCAAAAGATAATGGGATATAAGAAATGTATAAAAATCTATCTCTGATTAAGCACAGTAAGTTAATATATTCAAGTTATCGTTTTGATTAAAGTTTCATTAATTATTTTTTTTTAATATTCTAATATATTTACAGCGTCTGAATGGAACATATGTATGTATTTTCAGCTTGCCTGTTGCTGCTTTCAACATACATACTTACAAATACTTCAATGAGTGCAATCAGTTGCATTTCGTTTATTCGTTATACTTACATATAAATAGTTTTAATCCAAAAATTAAAGAAAAATACGTATGTAGGTAGAATATTATTAATAATTCGACCACTAAATCATCATTATAAAGATTGTGCATAAATCAAATACAATCGAATCAAATACTTAAATAAAAAAAATTGCGCTTTATTTAAAGGAATTAAGAGACAAAATTTCCCTTTGTTGTACGGACCCCAAAACCCTAGACGTATGTACACAAACAGAAAATACATCGAATTAACAAATTTATTTAAATAGAATTCTTTCATACATACGTATATATGTGTACAATGATTTTTATATATAGGCGTATATAAGAATATAATAGGAGTCTCAGTTAGAATTATCCATATTTAATGTTTATGTATACTTTTAGGGACCAACTATGCTTTTTTATGAATACATAGTTATATACATACGCACCATAGAATCAAGAAAACTGTTTATTATAATAATTGTTATTATAAAAAAGCTTTCTCCCTGCGTGCAGAAAGGTATAAAAAGGTATACTTGTCCGTGAATATCGCCGACAAAAGTAGTACACCTGAGGGTTTCCATTTCAGGAGAACTTAGTTTATAATCACCGGGGTTTTCGCCTAATTCAAAGAAAATTAGTGGAGGGTGTCCCACCTCCGCGATCTTTACTAATAAAGTAAAAGATAGAGACTAATTTTTACTAATAAAACTTTGTCGCTTTGAGCTTAACCCAGAGAAGGAACTTCGTTACATATTCGAATGTATATATTTATGATATTATATATACCATAATTGGCACTTTGTAACCGCTAAAATGATTTTCGGCCGAGCTCCTCCTCCAATTTGTGGTTTTGTGTCTTGATGTTTTTCCAACAAATGGAGGGGCAGGGGCCAAGCCGCCTGCGAACGGCTGATGGTTTTTTTCATGAGGAGTATTTATTTAAATTTGACAAAAGCGAATTGTATGAATTTGTCATGAATAAGACAATTCTCACATTGAAAACAAAAACAAAATACACTGTAATTGTTGTTTTTGTTCTTCTGCTCTCACCTTTATGAATTCGTCTTGATACATGATAATTGCTGTTTTTGTTTTCCTGCTCTCACCTTATGAATTCGCCTTGCTCTGTCAGTTTTGTCTTTTCTCTCATTGGAACCTTGCAATTTTGTCTAAAACAATATATGTAATATGTAAAATTAATCTTGACTACTTTGTTCTAACCGGTTGTTTCTTCAATGATGTATGTATATAAATACCCCTATGATGTATTCAACTGGATAACTCTTTCTTTTTTTTATATTTAATTATATAATATTAAAATTTAATATACTTTATTTATTTCCTTACAGAGGGTTATTTAACATCGTGCACTTTTGATTACCTAACCGATAACTTTGATACACGCCTCTTCGTGGGTACCATATTCTTTTGTAGCTTTGTATGCCCAACATCGATGATTGTCTATTATTACAGTCAAATTGTTGGACACGTCTTCAGTCATGAGAAAGCGCTACGTGAACAAGCCAAAAAGATGAATGTTGAGTCTTTGCGCTCTAATGTTGACAAGAGTAAAGAAACCGCTGAAATTCGTATTGCTAAGGCTGCCATTACTATATGTTTCTTGTTCTTTGTGTCGTGGACTCCATATGGCGTTATGTCATTAATTGGTGCTTTCGGCGATAAAAGTCTACTGACGCCAGGGGTCACAATGATTCCAGCATGCACTTGCAAAATGGTCGCTTGTGTTGACCCCTTCGTATATGCCATCAGTCATCCCAGATACCGAGCGGAATTACAGAAACGTTGTCCGTGGTTAGCCATTAAAGAAAAGTCTACAGAAGCTTCAACAGCAGGTTCAACTACTACCGAACAACAACAGACAACGGCAGCGTAAACAATATGATTGATTAACGTACTTTTTAGTGACACTGTTTACATAATTATTTAGCTTTATATGTATAGATGTAATTTATAATTATTATTATTTAAAAAATAACATATTTTAGCTGAACTTAATTTTATTTCCAACTTAAAAGCGATGACGACTTGGCCATGAACTTGGAATTTCTGAGAAATACACTAATATTGAAAGTTAAGGAACGATCTGATTTACAATTTTAATAAACTGTATAAAAATGTTTGGAACCGACGAAGTTACAACACGAAACAAGATTCTCTTCAGTCATGGAATAGTTACAAATGGAGTAAATTTTTTGTGTAATGTACTTAAATTAAATAATTGCAACATTTAGTTGTTTTCCTTACATTGACAACAAGAATTCTTCGATTCTTGCGGTGATATTTGAGACGAAGTTGTGAATTTAAGTCTTTGCTAAAACAACATACATATTTAAAATATAAGTTTTTTTTAAAGTTCGATCTGACCACGCAATAAGACTTGCATTGCAGCAACTCTGTTACACAATCTGAGTTGTTGCTTACCTAAATATTCGTTTTGCTGCTTATAGAAAAAAGTACATATTATGCATTAACACCTGTATTTAAGTGCAAGAAATTATATAATTTATATATATAAAATAAAATAGATACAAATTTTGCATCTTGCTTTAGTTTGGACACATGAAACATCATAACTCGAATTGCTTGACATTTGCTAAAGCTATAACAATTCAGTATGTATTACTGCACTGAGTGAGATTGAAGCAAGCATGTGGCAAGCGCATACAGGCGAAGGACACAAAGAGGTGATCGAGTTACTCATGCCCAGAGTCCGATGAAGAAGTTCGTATAGCAATCGCCCGCATAAAAAAACAAAAACGCGGTGGTGGCCATGTATTATCGGCAGAGCTTTAAATTGCTACGGCAGTGAAGATTTGATAAGGTGTATGCATCACTTTCTTAGCAAAATGTAGTCGGAGGAAAGCATACCCGACGATTAGAACCTAAGCGTGCGCAGCTCAGCCCAAAAGAACAGTCTGTGCCAATTACCGTGGTACCAAGGCCTTATCAGTCTGGCTTTAGACCTTGCAAATCAACCATTGACCAGATATTGACCATTCACAAAAGCTTACCAAACTCGGAAACTCTAAAATGCCAACCACTCTGACGAGACCTACAATTTGGAGGAGAAGTTCTTTTGAAAATCTCTAAAGTGCTTATGAATTATGTACATACGTAATTACACTTATATATTTGGCAAATTTTTTTATTACCGGCGATCTAAAAAAAACATTATTTACGTTTTTTCCATCACTAAACCAAGTTCAGCAAATATTCTAAAAAATCAAAAATGATTAGCGTGTCATATTGTGTCATATCATCACATTGTCTTATATTTTATGACTATCATATAAAAACTACTTGTTTTCAATATAAAATTAAAATTAAAAATACGATAAATACAGCATAGTGAGGTATGTTTTTTGAGTGCGCTATTCTATAAGCCGTGTCTGTTTACTTTTTTCTTGTTGACGTTAAAGTCAATGTATGATTTTCACATAAAGAAGATATAACTTTCTTTGTCTCACTATCAAATATAGAATGATTACATGTGTCGTATTTTTTAAGACTATTTCAATATGACATAAGACATAAGACAAAGCTTGTGAATATATATGTTTTTAAATATACACAATTGTGTTAAAAGTTTATCACAAACATTTAAATACTTTACCAATGTAACTTTAAGTATATTAAAATATACAATTTGTATTTATTTAATTTCTTTAAAGACTAAGATACATCGAATAACTTGTAATATGGGGGTGCAATAAGTACGTTATACTGTTATGTGGACTGTGGAAATTATGAATTAACGTTATTATTTATTTGTAGGTATTTATCTTTTAGCCAAAGCAAAGTAATGTGAAATAAATAGAATTTTCTTGCAATATAATAAAATTCTTCAAGCTTATAAATTTTTTCGAAACGGTATTGCTTAGGTACTAATGTTTGTATGTAGATATAAATGTACACACGAGTAAATATGCGCTTATATTTGTGCGTTCATTTTTAATCACTGAGTTAAACGCAGTCGAAATATAAAAAATATCATTTCTTTTTGTTTTCGGGATGTGCATATTTAAGTATACGCTCCGAAAATATTTGAAGCCCATCCGAAAAAATTGACGAGCATGTTCACTAACACTTCTGAAACTTTAAATGTGGTGACCTCGAAACTTTATTTTTAATTTGGGTGAAATGGGTTAACCTGGCATACAATTCTTAAACAATTTGTAACCTCAAGCGAAATTTCAGTAGGTTGTATTACCAGGGTGAGGTATAATGGGATGTAGCCAAGCTTCTGGGTATGCAGTTACAGCCGCAGAGCTATACTCACTCAATTTCTAGTTTTGCGTCCATTCGGGTATAGCCTTGGGTAAAGGCTAAAAGAGAGGAAGCTTCAGTAGAACTACTCCGAAATTTTCAGTATAAGGATCCGCTGATTACAGCGTCAGTCCACGAGCGTCTGTCAACGAGTAGAAGTGGAGTAGAAAAATTTTTTTGTATAAAATACCATTAGGGACTGTAACAATACCAATTCTTTTTTCTAACATATGAAGAAAGACATATTGCAAAATACATTCAAGTATCGAAGCATAGTAGTTTAGAAACATTCTCTTTTTTTCTTTGCTCCTGGTGGAGCAGACGAAACTTTTATATTAAATTTGTTGATGGCAAAAGTGAGAAGCAAACATGAGATCATCTTAACAGCCGCATCGTCTAGAGTTGCTGCCATGCTGTTGGAGGAATTTCTGTTTTCGACAGAATTCGGCACTAGTGACCAGGGGAGCACAAGTGGCCGAAGTTAGAGCGAGAATGAAGCAAGCTGAATAATAACAAATAATTGTGCAGTACACCTACAGTAGAAGGAAAAGCTTGTAGTTATAATTTTCTCAAGCATAAATAATATTCACCGCAAGTTCGCAGAAACAAAACTCCCTACAAAAGTATTGCATTGAGATTTACAGGCCTATTCTGGCGAGGTAACAAAATTTACTTTGGTATTTGTGTCGCAGTCAAATAAGAGATGGAGTTAGGAAGGAACATGCGAATTTGAAATCGAACAAGTTTATTTCTTAAAAGAAATACATATTAATTTGACAGTTCATATTAAACTTATGATACTTGCCCCAGTTCCTCACTCCATCCGTTTGCTTTGCGTGTTTTAGCAAATATGATGAAATTAGCGTAAAACTAATTTATATGTACGTTTCAAAATAACAGGACAAACGAATAGCAAAACAGAAAGAAATTAAACGGAGTTGCATTTTATGGTAATCAAAATAAATAACTTTAATGAATCTATTACAGTATTAAAACTTACCATTCAGTATATTTTGTAACTATTTCGTATTCACTGTCACCCTGTAAATTTTGTTACCAACGAAATAGGAGGTAACATAAAATCTGCCGATTGATTTTGTGTTGTTAGTTTGAGAAAAAAAAATACCAAAATTGGTGGACATTTTTTATGTCTGGAATTCATTTAACATGAAGAAAAACGGGCAAAAAGGCGTATGCTAAGAAGTTGCCGCTATGTAACCGCTGAAGCGATTTTCAGCCGAGCTCCTCCTCCAATTTGTGGTTTAGCGTCTTGATGGCTTTTCCACCAAATGGAGGGACCTACAGTTTATACTAAGCCTCCTCCGAACGGCTGACGGTTTTTTATGAGGAGGAAATACACTCGGAGGGGTTGACATTCCCTGCCGAGGGGTGACCACAATTAGAAAATTTAGCTTAACTTTATATTTAAATTAACTTTTTGGATGTTGGTCGCACTGGGATTTGAACCCGAGCCTTCCGAAAGGCAGTACGCAATGCTAACCACTCGGTTTCCGCGGCCGATAAATAACCAACCATATAAGAGCACTTACATTCAAAAAAACAGATGAAAATAAAACCTTTTAACTAGTGTTAAAAAAACACAACAACATCGCAAACTACAAAAACATAACACAGCAATAATAAAATCCACAGAGAAAAATATACCAAAAAAACGCAAGGCTAATACCCAACCCCAAAAAAGGTGGGTTGTACTTATTCCGGAGTCAAAGTAAGTCTTCCTCACTCGAATATACATATTAGTTTAGCGGATTTTGCCAAACGAAATAATCATATATATTCAAAATCCAGAAAAATCAGCTAAGCTTCAAAAGCCGTATACATATATAATACACTAGCGGGTCCCCAAAATCTCTACTTTTCTTTTACCATACCTAGCCAGCGCTCATATATGCAAAGCTCGCTGTCCCCACTCAAAAAATGGATTTAAAATAAAAAAATAAAAAATACGGCTACTTATTTATACCCCCTCACGAATATAAACTCCTATTTTATATACTTCCATTTTATATACTCCATATACTGATCCATAAGCCCCTCTTAATAGGCCAGAGCTGGACCAGTGTCCGCACATATATATCCCCACACGTATATAATATCCCACTTATATACACCCCAACTAGGCCGAATCCCCTCCAAAAGGGACCATAACCGGACCGGTGCAAACTTATTATGTAGTCCGCAATTACCACCCCCATCGACGGTACATGTATATACATACACACATATATATATAATTTTTGCTTTCCGGCAATTCCCACTCCTTCGCTATTTGCAATAGCAAAAGAGCAATAATACAGGGTCCGCCACGTAACTTTTTTTTTTAAATGCAATAAAACAAATGCCCATTCGGCAAAGGCAAACCGCATCGGATGGTCTCGTGGCTTGAATTCTTGAACCTATTAAACTTTGTACGATGTCATACCAAGGTTTTTTTTCAATATTCGCCTAAGGGATGTCTCGGAAATGTCCAATTGTTGAGAGCGACGCTTCACTGATGTTCCGAACGCCTCACGCACACTCTCGGCCACAGCAGCGATATTACCGGCAGTACGCACTTTTTTTGGTTTCTCACGCGTTGGTTTATCAATAATTATGCCGGCTTCTCTCAATTTTTTCAAAAGAAAGCGCACATATGGAGCGGACGGTGCTTTGTTACGGCTCATTTCCGTGCGTAATTTTCGCACACATTTTCAAAGTAAAACTGCACTATTTTAACGCGTTCCTCAATCGTATACCCAACCATTTTCGTTCCGCAGAAGGATGAAACTAACTTTCTGTCAAATCAGATGTAACATCAGTGTTACCACACTCAAAATACCCACTAGTTCAAAAAAAAAATGTTAGATGGCGGACCCTGTATATGTACATAAGAATACTTACGTGAGACAATGCATTGCTGACAAAAATCCGAATTAGCGAATTACTCCGCAAATTCCTACAAAATACAGACTACTCATGCACACATATACCTACTACGATGATGCCAACCCCAACACAGACCGACGCCTACAGCTATCTCGAAGTACCGGCATGTGACACAGAAGATTTTTACAGAAGATAGGACGACTGGCCCTCGGTCGAGGACATGTTCACATTAGTATACATTAATCACCCTGAACTCTTCCGAATGAAAAAACTGTACCACTTAAGGCAGAAAACGAGAGGAAAAGCTGCCCTCCTCATAAAAATTTACGCCCTCAATGTCCTCAATTTCACTCTCGCATGAATAAGAATAATAAGAATAAGCGCCAAACAACTCAGAGTTTCAACAAAACAGTACCACGTCCCAAGTGGCAGTCGAAGTATAAAAGCCCAGTAACTCTCAACAGGCTAGAATGTCAGGCAATACTGAGACTGATGATGAAAAAATACTCACACATTTCTCTTGTAGCGAACAGAGAACACTGCTTCCCTCAGCAATAATACCACTTCATGATGGATAAGGGCTCCTTTGATCAAGGCTCTCAAAAAACGCTTGTAACGTCTCATGTACAAACGCCACTTAGTCTACCGGTATCAAAAACCCACCATGAGATTCTCGGAATTAATTCCATTTCTGTCCTCATTTAAAGTAAAAGATTATGCGCTCGATTATTATATTTCACTACCCCAAGCAGATCCCAACTGCTTTACCCCAGCCAAAATAGATATGGTCATTACGGGTGACATTACTTACTTACTCAAAACACAATTTTCAGATAGATAATATGCGGCCCAGTCACAGAAAAAATCAACACAGGTAATAGGAACCTCAGAAACTAATCCATATGAGACCCAAACTTCGAAATCGACCGTCAAAGAGGCAGAAACTTGACAAACCCGCCCGACCCGGCCGACATATCTCACTTCCAAAAATAAGCACCAACCAATCTGACATTCTCATGGAAATCCTCCCCAGCATACTCCTTCAATGAGAACGTCCGAAAGTTTCTGTAAAAAACGTCTCACTCCCGAGACTGGAAGCCTCCATAACGCAGGTCTCACTCTCGAGTCTGGAACCACCCTCAACTTGACGGACAGCTCCCACTTTTGGAGTCTACCCCTCCCACAATATTCCATCGTTACTCCACGGGTAGTAAGGGGTGCCGGCTGTACAGTGGCTTCAGCAGACGCTTAAACATACTCCCCGCTGGGACACGGTACGTTGTTTACGCTTAGGCAGTAGTGATCGAACGTAGCGTACTGGTTGTGCACGTGTAGTTGTTGCTGCCCCTTTTCCTGTAACTACCTGGTGAACTGCGTTTGCGGCTGGTTTGCGCTACACGGATGTACCTTGGTGCATCAACGTGTCATGCGCTTTTTGGCAGCGTTTACAGCTGCTTGACGAATTACCCTCGCCAGTGGTGTTGACGCAATTGATGCAATAGCCTTGCGCTCTGGCTACTACCAGTCGTTGTGGCGGCTTCATCGCTTGGAATGCGCCTCTTATTCTAGAGTCTACATTGGAGACAATTTCCTGTTTCTGTCGTAGGAGCCAAGGGTACGGCCGTTTTTGTCGCCATTTTCTGGAACGAAAAGATCAAAACATTGTACGGACAGTATTAGGTGACACT